AGTGATACACTTCTTCCAACAAGACCACACCTGCTCCAACAAAACCACATCTCCTAATAGTACCATTCCCTATGAGTTTGTGAAAGTCTCCACCACATGGGGTATCAAGGGAATAAAGGACCGCTATATAGAAGAGCAGAGATTGGGTGGTGTTGGCCCTCTGATAGCGAAGACTCAGCACCCTAGGTCTTAGTCAATGTTCTATTTGCGTAGAGACGCTATGACCACGACAAATCTTATAAAAGGAAGCGTTTAATTGGGGCTTGCTCACAGTTTCAGAGGTTTAGTCCAGTATCATCATGATGAGGAGCACAGACGCACAAAGGCAGACATGGTACTGGAGAAAGAGCTGAGAGACACATCTGGGTCAGCAAGTAGCAAGAAGAGAAAAAGCCACTCGGTCTGGATTGGGCCCTTGAAACCTCAAAGTCCTCTGCCAATGGCACACTTCTTCCAACAAGGCCACACTTACTCCAAGGCCACACCTCCTAATCCCTCTCAAGTATATAGTTCAGGATGTCCTCAAACTGACAGTCCTCCTACCTCAGCAACCCGGTGCTTGAATTGAAGATGTCCTCCACCACACCTAACCTAATGTAGGAAGAATTCTTCTTTGCTCCTTCCATCTTGTGGCTATGGCCTGAATCCTTGCCATTACTTGATTACTGGGTCCTCCAAGATCCACCTCCGTTGTCACCTGGCGTTTTGCTTTCCCGCCGTTCTCTCAGCGTCTCAGATTGGATGAAGGCTGAGCCCTGCTCCAGGAACCTTGTCCCAACTAGTACATGAGTAATGACTTACTTCCAAGAAGGGCCACATTCCCACTTCCTGCGAGGTGAGCACCTCAGCTTGTCTTTGGGGACACACAACTCAGTAGAGAACATAATTTTGAATCTAAGTGAAATGAATCATCTTGCCTATTACTTTGGAAGGTTCTTGAAGGGAGAAAGTATTTATTGTGAATCAGCGCCATATGGGTAAGAAATATTTGGCAACTGTAAAATGAATGTTTGAAGGTTTCTGTCTAATGTTTCAGTCAATCAAATAGTCTCTGATTTCTAAGTGAGTACCAAGTCATTAGCTCAGAATGCATGGAGGCTTTGGAGGAACCAACAGGCCTTGCTGAGCTCCTGTTTATTACCATTACGTCACACCTTTCTCCTCCAATCACATTCCCGCTCCACCATTCCTAAGGATGGATGGGTTTCCTGTTGAATATTCATACTTAAAGGTTCCACATCACATAAAACACATAGTAAATATACCTGGATGGTTTTCTGTTGCTCACCTTTGGTGCCTCAGTGATAGAATTCACAATGGATGAGCACTCAGTTCTCAATGCACTACCCACATAAAAATCTTTCTAAGAACTGCAGGTGGGCTGTGTCTTGCTTTAGGAACAAATGACTCAGTAGATTCTGTCAACCAAAAAAAAAAAAAGGCAAGTTGAGGCACATGGGTATGAAAATGTAGAATTAGAGGCAATTCACTGATGGTCCCTGAGGGACCAGGTTCTAAACATCCAGAGCTAGAACCCCCGATGGTGTGCAGGGGTCTGGTGCTTTCTGGGTTTCTGTGTGTGTGCTGGGATTTCATGTAGGCCTCAAGGAAAGATGTGATCTAGTCCTGTCCCACTTCATCCCCAGCCCATGGGCAACAACTCTATAAGAAAGATACAGATAACCACACTGATTGAGTCAATTAAAAGTATGAGTCCTTTAATTTTTGGCCAGTGACCAAGAGTGGGCTGTGTCTTTTGGTG